AATGATTCGCAGTATTATTTTCGGTATATGTAGACTCACCGAGGAGCTTGGACAGCTTTCAGTGGTGGATTGCAGCTAACGATTTTTTATCGATTTAAAATCGAACTACGAGTGATGGAAGTTGTCTATCCCAGCTTGCGAGTAGGTTGCGTTGCGCTGTATGCCAAAGAAGAATTTGGATTGCAGCTGTGTCTTGGGAAGGTTGTAAAGAAGCAATCTAGCGATATTCCGCCGCAGTTTTATCCGTGCTACTCCTAGTTTGTCACCGAAACATGTTGCGAAGTCGCTTTTTCAGGCGCAGCGGTCGAGTTCTAGCATAACAGCGCTGCCATAGACCAATATATCAGTTGCGTTGCGAGCAGAAAAATCGCGTTATGAGTGATTGTTGCACTACCGCTACCGCTCCTAAAGCACTTTTTTTTTTGTGTTCAAAATGACGGATTGAGGGAAACATTCCTGCCGTAGCACCGATGCAAAAAACAGCGCGTTTCACTGTTGCTGCTATTAAAATTGATGCCCCGCAGCACTAATTGCTTCTGCAAGCACTTCAGCTCGTATCCGCGCCGCAAACGAACCAACGAACGAACGACCTTCGATCTCAGCTGTTTTTTCTCGCAAATAAGCCCTAACAGCAATGCCAAATTTTAAATATTTGAAAGCGCAAGTGTGATGGCGAGCAATGACATTCAGCGAACAGAGGTAAAGAGGCGCAGCAGAGAGCACGGGGGTGGGGGGAGGAGGAGGCGAGATAATTGTCAGGACGGCCATTTACTAACCAAAGCATCAGATACATTTAAGCAAAGATATGAGCCAAGAGATACCAGTATGAACGTTAAATTAAAACTCGGGCTGGAACGCATCAGGCGGGCCAGTGCGATTATGTTTTTGCACTATCTCGTGCTGTACCAAGATCGCAAGGAATCACGATAGTAGAATTTGTGACATATTGGCCCTCGAAGTTCGGGTAACTGCGCAGCTATGTGGAATATCACTTGTAAATGTCAGTTTTAAGTGACTCGACAAATGGGAATTTGCTGGTGCGCGAAAAAGATCTCACTCGAAGAGTTGAATTTGAAATATTTTAGTCTTACACGAGTGGGGAACGTTCCTCTAAAGCTTCAGCTTTCTAGCTTTTCTCGCTCCGAAATCAGCGACTTTCCTGCCAAAATTTTCACGTGTCCGTACGTAAGTCCCAGGCAGTCCTAAGCAGCTGAATTTGAAATTTTTCAGTTGTACATGGGTAGAGAACATTTTCTCAAATTTTTTGCTTTCTAGTTTTTCTCGTCCTGAGTTATCAATTTTTTCACCAAAACTTTTACTTGGGGCTCTGGCGTGCGTGAGATTTGGTATTGCGGTCTTCGGGCGACACATGGCCGGGGTGCACATTGGCAAAATCTTAGCTTCAAAGCTTGCGTGGTTGACGAGTTGAAATACCCGCACAGACGCATATACACAAACATACACACACAGACACAGTCGCTGCAGTATGCGTTCTTGCTGCCTGTTGCAACGCTCTAGCGCTGCACGGCAAAAACGCATAATGAAAAAAAGTGAAGCGCATTGGAGAACTGGTGATGCCCAACAGTTTTTGAATAAATCTGTCTGTAGAAAACAAGTGGCCTACGCCGGCATCTGGAAACGGGTAGCAGACAATCGGACATATACACACCCAAACATACACATACATATATACGAATAAAAAAAAACACAGTCTCCTCCGTATGTGCTTGTTCATTTGCACATATTCAAAAGCAGCATGTAGCTTGGCTGAGTATGAGGTGAAATAGGTAAGTGGGTGCGTTCTGAGTTCTGCCACATTGGTGTTTGAAAC